TTTAAGATGATCTTTTAATGAAGGTTTAGAAATTGAATGATTTTGGTTATAAAATTTATACAGTAAAGATATATTATTTGCAAAGAATGGATATCTACATTCCTCATGAAAAGATGCAAGATTTAACCTTATTTCTTTCACAACTTGTTCATGCGTTCAGTTACATAGTATACCTCAGTTACGAGTCATTACACATATTCATAATTTATCTTAACCTCATTACCTAAAATAAATACTAATATGAGTACTAAATTATCCATCTCTCTCTCAAACTGTATCAACTATTTTAATCCTTACATGTTTGTCTGCATGAGTTCTCCAAATCTTCAATCAATAAGAAACACACACACATCCACACATTATGTATTTTCAAATATCTTGTACATAATTGCATTATTATAATATGTCGTGTGAATCAATCTTGTGATGTGGCAATAATACAATGAAAATTTGAGGAAGCATAGGAATTGAAAACGATACTCATTGTCATATATACTCCAAGTCTTGAAAAGTGCAGTCACCCAACACCTAAGTCAATCAGAGATTTTTTAATATGCTTGAAACAAATATCAACACATTAAGTGTTATAATACAAATGGTTAAATATTTAAGAAAAAAAATTAAATTTCAACCACTTGTATTACAACACTTATTGTACTAGATAGATAGATACATTAAGTGTTATAATACAAATGGTTAGATAGTTAAGAAAAAAAAATTAAATTCCAATCACTTATATTACGACACTTACTGTACCAGGCCATGTTTTTTCGTCACACGAAAAATTTCTCTAAGTCAATCTAGCTAATAAACCCTAAATACCCATGTTAGGGGCAAAACCGTCACAAAAAATTAATCTAACTGTATATATATAAGGAGAAATTAGGTTTACATCCTTCTTTTTACTACTTCATTGATTAAAATCCTATTCATTTTCAATTTTTGATCAAGGTCTTTGGGTATTAATAACATCATTAATTATTTGAATAGTAAAATATTTTTATTTTTAAATAAAATGTTAAAATTAGTATATTTATATTTATGGTTAAATTTTTTATCATATATTTTTATTGTTAGTTTGTACCTATTTTTAATTTGTACCCATATATTAGTTTTTTTTTGTGCCCATATTTTTTAAAGTTTTATTTGTGTTTGTACCCATGTGTATATCGTCACGTGACATTATATATTTAATCAATGATAGAAAAATTACATATGGTATACTTATGTTTTATGCCTAAACTTTGTATCATATATTTATATATTTAGTTTGTACCCACTTTTAATTTGCAACATTTTTTTAAATTTGTAGTATTTTGTTTTTAATTTTATTTTGTACCCATGTATTAATTTCTTTTAGTGCCTATATTTTTTAAAAATTCATTTGTACTCATAATTTTTTAATCTTTTATATGTACCCTAATTTATTTATAATGTACCCATTTTTCTTTATTAATGTACCACTTTGTTATATGTGAAATGTACCAATTTTTTTGTAAAATGTACCAATTTTTTTAACACTATGGATACATTCTTTTTCCATTTATTATTTCTTATTTTTACGTAGTTTTTATCCATTTATTCAATCAAAATGTTTGAATTTTTTTATTGTAACCGTTTATAATAGTATTATAATGAGAGATTTTAAATTTATAGGATTATAAATCTCATAAAATATCAAACAATTAATGTCAAAACTATAAAAATATTAATATTAATTGTAATATAATGAGGTGTACAAAGTAAAGGGACTTTGATCAAACTTTGAATACCATTAAGGTTTTAATCAAAGAATGTTAAGGATTAGGGACCGCATTCAAAGTATCCCTATATATAAACACACTGAGACTCAGTAAGTTCATGCCCATCTCCTTCCCTCTTGTCCCTGCTTCAAGTTCCTAAACCTGACAGCACACAACTCAACGCACATCCTTACTGAATCTCACAAACAAAAACATAAATACTTTGTAAACATACAGTTAGCAATTCTTTAGAAAAATGGGAGCTGTGCGTCTTTACTTAACGGCAGTGGCCATTACACTCTTCGCAGTTACTTGTGCCGTTCAGGGCTGTCCGCCTTCAGACCGGGCAGCTCTGCTGGCTTTCAAGTCGGCGCTCCACGAATCGAAGCATGGGATCTTCAACTCGTGGGTCGGTACCGATTGCTGCCACAACTGGAAAGGCATCAGCTGCGATCAACAGTCCCGCCGTGTTGCCGACATAAACCTGAGGGGCGAGTCCGAGGACCCGATTTACGAGAAGTCCCACCGGACCGGGTACATGACCGGTACGATCTCCCCGGCCATCTGCCGCCTCACTCGTCTCTCCAGCGTCACCATCGCCGACTGGAAGGGAATTACCGGCGAGATTCCGAAATGCATCACTACGCTCCCTTTCCTCCGCATCCTTGACCTCATCGGAAACAGAATTTCCGGCGAGATTCCTGCCGGTATCGGACGGCTACACCGTCTCACGGTTCTCAACTTCGCCGATAACCTCATCTCCGGCCCAATACCAGCCTCGCTCACCAACCTCTCCAGCCTCATGCACCTTGACCTCCGAAACAACAAAATATCGGGCGAGTTGCCCCGAGATTTTGGCCGACTAGGAATGCTGAGCCGGGCTTTGCTGAGCCGAAACTTGATCACCGGTACCATCCCGAGCTCGATCTCGCAAATTTACCGTCTCGCGGATCTGGATCTTTCCTTGAACCAGCTTTCGGGTCCGATTCCTGCTACAATCGGCAAAATGGCGGTTCTTGCAACGCTAAATCTCGATTGCAACAAAATATCGGGTCGTATACCGCCCAGTTTAATTGTATCGGCCATTAGCAACTTGAACTTGAGCCGAAACTCTCTTTCGGGCCTGATACCGGATGTTTTCGGACCGCGATCCTACTTCACGGCGATTGATTTGTCGTTCAATAGTTTAAGGGGCGATATCCCGAAATCTATCATTTCGGCTTCATATATCGGGCACTTAGATTTGAGCCACAACCACCTTTGCGGGCGGATTCCGGCCGGCTCGCCGTTCGACCACCTTGAAGCGTCGTCTTTTAGTTACAACGATTGCTTATGTGGCAAGCCACTAAAAACTTGCTAGCTTAAAGATAGATTGTGAAGGTGTTTGTATTTTATATTATTGGTGTGTTTACTGCGCTTATTAAAGTCAAAATTTTCAATTTTTTATCGAACCTAAACGTTGTTATGCGGATTTAGGTTTAGCTAAATTGATAAAGCAGTGTGCTTCGAATGTTTGCATTCTGCTCTCTGTAATTTAAACTTATTTAATATTGATATTCTGTCGTCTGTTATAACGTTGTTATTACGACAATTTTAGTGTTTATTTTTTAATATGTACGTAATTTTGCATGAATATATGGAGAGTATTTGGTTGGGGCCACAAATATGTTTTGACTTGTGACTAAAAAGAGGAAGGGCAAACTATGTCGACTCATTTTATGCAAATTGATGAGATCATCGACCATGAAAATGCAAAATGTTCTTTAGGAGCAGTCATCGTCCAATTTTGTAAGAGGAAAAAGATGAAATAGTGGTTTTTTTTATTTTTTATTTTTGCTTTTGGAATGCCAATAATTGAAGGGAAGCTGTTTACAGGATTACATACCACTTTTGAAATTCGAAAAAAACCCTTTTGCATGCATTCATTTTTAAAAAATTTCTAACCTACTAATTAACCTTTACCTAGTGACGGAGCTAAGTTTTCAGAGGAGAAATATTCAGTAGGACAACATACTTGATCACATCATTTGTTTGATAGTTTACATAAACAAACGAGTCTTTTTGCATTTCGGTTTCATTCTGATCTCACTCTTGTAAAAATTGGCTTACATGTTACCAAATTAAACTGCCCTATTAACGGATTTCTCCTAGAGGTGAGGCCTCCTAGACAAGGAGAGAACCGTGCAAGATGGACCTTCTAGACTAATAGGGAACCTACACTTGAAACGGGAGGGGAAACAGAGGACACATAGGGAAATTAGGGATGGTAAAATGGGACCTTTTGAGGGAAAAAGTATTACAAATTCATGAAGTCCTTGACGTTAGTTCAAGTAATAAGTGAAAGGAAAAGTTATATGGGTAGGATTAGGATAACTTAGTGATTCGAATTCCTCCTATGTAAAAGGTAGATAATAGGTTTGGAAGGTCGTTAGCTTCCAGGTATGGTGCTTAAGATTTAATTAAGATAGCTCATTAGGTTTAATTAGAAAAGATAATTCATTAGATTTAACATACACTGCACTTTGAAAGAATAAATAAATGTCAACTTTTAAATTTTGTTTGAGTTGAATGTAAAAACAAATTAGTCATGAAAGAAACAAATGTAAAAGTAGATTAGTCATGAAAGAAACTTAACATTTTCAATCCCCGCAAACAAGTATAGTGTCATCATCTTATGACATTTGATTCCCTTAACTTGAATAAATTTGAAAATGAAGCGTTCATTTCTCACTTCAACAAATCTCAAATCTTGTGAGTAATACAATAAAATCCAATCCTAAGCACAAACTTGTGGCCAAATGTGACAACAAGCCTACAACTCATCTATCCACAAGTTTCAGCTGGCACTCCAACAAAATTAACCAGTAACCTTAGCACAACCCACTTGACCATTTTCATAGCTGTTGACATAAACAAATCCATTAATCAAGTTAACGTTACTTGGTGTTCCTTCTGAAAATGCACACATAATAATGCATTATTAAATGAAACACTACAATGCGGCGATCCCGTTATTGTAAGTTGCACTCACGTACATTTCTCAGACTAAGACTTGATATCAGTTTCAAGGATTCAAGAACATCAAAACAAGACATCACACGTGAAGCATTATTGCGAGACAATGACTCTCCCAGCTGTACAATTTATATTCACGAAGGGGGGTCCGAAACGGTGAACAGTGTACTAACTGTGAACGCGTGACGTGTACCGGTTGCCATGTGACGAGATAAACATATCAATTTATTTCCAGTATTTCTGATAGCATATGTCATATGATCTCGTGCTGCCAGCAGAAAACAGTAATGGCCACCTCACACCAAAAATATAGCCTTTGAGTCGTTGCAATTAAGGTAGTATCTGAGGTTGAACCTAATCATTTCCTAAGTTTCTGGTGTTAAGAGAGTCAAATGCTATGTGTAGCCGTTTAATTCAAGAGCTAGACCGTTTAGTTGTGTACATTTTAAATCTGTGGCTCAATATTCTCTTCATGCTCCTCAATGGAATACTGCCATTCTTTGTTTGTTGGTCTTGTCCTAGATCAGTGTAGTACTGGATAGAAATTTCCTGATGCTGTGTTTTGTTGTTGTTCTGCAGCACATTCAAAAAGAAAGCGTCCAATGCCATAAAGGAGATTTGGAGGTTTGCTCAGAAGGCTATGGTTAATCTGGAGCCATGGTATCCGAAGTGTGCCGATGAGGGTTCGCATGCGCATTGCCCGGCAAAGAAACGAAGAAGAAGATGGCAAGGAGGAGCTCTATTCCCTAGTAACAGTCACCGAGGTTCCTCCATAGGGTCTCCAGGGATTAATTAATTAGGCACCACGGTCCTCACGAATAGCGTCCCTGACTTATAGATTGTTGGTAACTTGGTTATTGAGTAGCCATAGTTCCTGTAACTCAGATTCTAATGCAGTATCTATCTTTAGTTCATAATTTTCTTGTGTCTTAAGAATTCTTGTTCCTTTTTTTTTTTTGGTGTGAGGTGGCCATTACTGTTTTCTGCATTGATTCAAAGGCTAAACGTAGCTTAAGCCAAAAGAAATCTCACAAGACAGCTCCAAACCTTAAAATTCTGGTAAAACTATGAGCATTCTGTCCAAGTTGCTAAGTAGAACAGGATTAAACCATTGAAAACATTTAGAACAATACTTGGCTACTCAAAGATGAGTATAAATTCTTACTCAAAATTCTTAGTATTTTAATTACAGAGTTTTGTGCTTATGATCAGAACCGTTCATACTATGAATCACACTGTAAAGATGATCTTTGCTAAAAATGGTTCGTAATGCTTTTACCAATACCACTCATTTGTTTTTAAACAATTTGATGACTAAACGTCCTTAGTTTTAATTTATTTTTTGCAAAGACGATCTTTATATGGTGATTTATAATATGAACGGTTCTGATTATAAACATGAAGTTCTATAAATTGACAACGAACAATTTTAAGAAATTTTGAATAGAAGTTCTTGCTCATCTTTGAGTATCAAATTATTGTTTCTTGAAAAATAAGCCCCTCAAAACTTCAATTGATGGTAAAAAAGCACTTGTGTACGTGACCGTTATTGCACTACAAGTGACGATATCATGATTCCTGAAGTTTATCTCAATCCCTAACCCTAAAACGACGACGAAAAATTTCAAACCTATATGTAGAAAGGCCCAAAGTCTTATTAGGTTTTTCATAGAAGGGCCCATTTAGAACAATTGGGCCCATTTTTTTCTGGTCTACTGTAGTGCTGGAAATAAGTCCAGGTCATCACGTCACGCTGGTCCCACGCTGCTATTTCTGTCGAGAAAATAGACAAGTGGGATTGTGAGGGTAAAATTGAAAGTAAAATAGAATTATAATTTAGTGTTTTATTATTATTTGTATTATATACTAATTTTTTTTTTTTATTAAAAATGTTGTAATCAGTTCTATTTGTACCTATTTGTCATGTTAAAAACATGATTGGCGTTTTTGGTGTTCTTGTTTATGTTCCTTTTTTTTCACATAATTTAGATTATTGGAGTGATTTTTTCCCCAAATAACACATCGTATTAACTCTCGTCCATGATATTCGCTTTTTGTTTATAATCTTTGTAGTCATCCAACCGTGACTAAATAAATAGACGAACATAGCATGCATGATTTAATTTTCTAATCCCCACCCAATTTAATATAGAATTAGCTTGGCTCTCAATGAATGAGTAGGAGTTCCTCATTAAGATGGTTTGTCACCGAGTCACAGAACTTTGCGCTTATGACCGAATTTGTTCATAATACAAATTACTTTGTAAAGATGATATCTACAAATATGAAATCGTTTAGTCATCGAACTGGATAAAAAATAAATGATTTGATACAGTAAAAACATTAATGATGTTTCGTAAATCAGTCACAAAGTATCTTGAAGTGTTACTTCTACTCAATCTCAAGGAGCCAAGCTTTCATCACTTCATATTTCACACCCTAAATATTCTTCATGAATAAGAACATAAAGCTACAGTGATTATTTCTTGGCATGGATACAAATGGTCTCTAGATAATTACTAGAATAAATAACCTTTTTTTTACCCAACTTCTAAGCTCTGTGATCTCTACTAAGATTCCTGAATGAGTAAATTCATCCCGCCCTATGTGCACAGAAGCAATGAACGAAACTGAAGCAACGAATGCCATCCCGAGAAAAACCATCACAAACAGTTTGCTTATTGAATAGATCAGCTCCAGCTTCCACAATCCGAACACTACTTATCAGGTCAAAATGTTGAGATAAGCGGTGTAAGATTCGTCCTTGAAGGTCGACAATGGCGCTAGAAGAAAGTTCCTTGGTGTCCCTTTAGCAACAAAGCTGATTGGATGATACTGGTTTATTCCATTGTTCATCACAAAGCTGGCTGCCTGATTGAATCCAGCGCTCGATGACTCTGAACTGCAGACGAGCTTCAAGTCTGCATTTGCCTCAACGTTTTCGCTATACACATAGCAACCTTGGTTGCTTTCGGACTCTAAGGATACTGTGGTGTTCTTTCCATCCAAACCTTGAACCAAACGAAAAACTGAAGTGTCCCTACTAGTGGACATGTCTGCTATACCGAGGTTCTCGTCTATCCCTTGCTGCACCACAACCTTTCCTGGAAGATCAAACAGTTCTAGCATGATCGATTTGCCTATAACATCATTCGCTGAAGAGAGTTCTGTGGACATGTCACTTATAACGAGTCTGAAAGTGGCATGATTAGCAGCATCAGTGCCAGTTTCAGGAAACTTGTCCAATCCAATTGATTCGTTTAAGTTGGCTATGACGAAACTTGAGCTTCCGGACTCTTGGGATAAAGAAACCAAGAAGTTATTATATGAGAAAGGGATTGGAGTTATCCAGTCAGAAAGAGACCTAACAGAGCCAGTATTAATGTCCCAGTTACCACTCGTATGAGCCGCAAGCAGATACGGACCATAAAGAATTGCTTGAACCGAAGCGTACTCAGGCCGATCATCTGAAATTTGAAGGATTTGTCAGTTATGTATCATTCATAAAAGAATGTTTTGGTTACCTATAGGAATATACTATAAACTACCTTTAATAGCCTCTGTTCTTAGACTAATGGGCAGCTGAAGGGTCAAAATGTCACCAGGACTCCATTTTCTTGTGACTGTTAGGAAACTACCTGCTTCACAAATACGAAAATAATATCGATTAATCCTATAGTTTGCACCCAAAACCAAACGCAAAGAGGTTCGAATGAGTGTTCAACTGATACCAACTGCAGAAATAGAGAGGGAACTGCGAGTGTCACTCTCACCTGGAGCTGGAACACTCAGACTTTGACCATTCAATGCTGCTTTTGCACCATTTGAATCTGTCCAAATTGGAATTCGCAAGTTCAACGTAGATGATTTTCCTGTCCCCTGCATCATTTAGATCCAGTATAAAATTCTATGTTTGACTCACAAGGGCACAAGACAAAATGACGCTACATGTGTTTATTTTAGTGAATCTATACCGAAACATACACATGTTTGTTTATAGACAAGGGTGACTCTTTTATAGGTTTCTAAATGAGTGTCAAACACTGGAGGACGTGTTTAATCCTAATGAAAATAAGAGAACTGCTGTGCGTATCAGAGAAAGAGTAGAAACACAATTGCAACCGAAAGACTTCAGCAATAAGATGGCAGAAGGATGAATTGTGAACATCGAAAGAGATAAAAACTTGTCTGATAATGATAATGTCAATGTCAATGTCATACATACCTCTGCTGAAGAAAACGTTAGTGCGACTCTAAGGTAAGGATCCCATGAATTGACATGATCAACTGTCTGATTAAGCGCTATTTGCCCGGATTTCCAATCAAGGAAGCTTGAGATATACTGGATAATGTAAAGAGCAGGAGCTTCTTTCTCCTCTTCAAAATATATGGAATCTCCTAGCTTTGAGAATGATTCAATACCTACAAAAGCATTAAGAACTTAGACAAAACTGACGGTCGTTCACAGTGCTTACAGAAACAAGTCAAAATGCAATCTAAATTTTTCTTCCATCAGAACAAATTGAAAATGAGAAGGCACATCATTACGATATATAGATCATGACGAGTTTAGAAAGAATCTGAAATTCCCTTGAAGGGAAAGGTAAGAGGGACAAGAAAATCCCAATAAATCTCATACCAGTGCCATAGCAGCACCAGAAAGTCTCGAAGGGTTTTCCCCAACCATGGTAGCTTCTGGCCTTGGAATTTCCACGACCCAGTGGAAGCATGTAAATCATGACTCCAGGCTCTGTCCCTCTTTGGATGCTTAGCACGCCATTTGTCAGAGCTCGCTCGTAATAATCCGCATATGCTGTTTCTTTGGTCCATCTAAACAGGTGGCGAGAGACCTACAAGATCATTGAGATGTGCTAAAGTAGCAGCAGAAACAAGGCCTTTTATCGTGCATAACAACACAACTCAAACGATAATGATGAACTTATACACTACACAAAATGATTTTGACTTCCCATAGTTGCACCTCTTTCAACAATAGACTAAATTATAACCGCTATCGTGTAATATAAAAGGTACGCCAGCACCAGTTCTAGCTTTATGAAATGAAATAAACTTGAATTTAAAATCAGTCAATCGACTTCCCGTATAACTTATAAAAATCCATCAGCCTTGAGAACGATTACAATGGGCATACCTTCAGCATGTTATAAGTTGTGCACGACTCCTCGTTCTCAGTTTGTAGAGTGCTCGCCAACCTTTTAGGGTTGGACCTGTTCACAAGTTGAGGAAAGCAAATGAACAATTCAGGATCCATGTTAAGACTTTATAAGTACTTATCCTCAAAGTAGTACTGGGATTCAGGCAAAAGGAAGAGCTTATTATGAATGAGCTGAAAATGAAACATCAATATCTGAATTTTAGTACCAGAACTCGCTCACTGATGTCCCTCCGGTTGCATAGCTGTGAGAAGAGTTAACAATGTTCATAAAGAAAGTACTCATTTCCTGAAAATTTCAGATTTTTTTTATAAATGTCAGAATAAACAACCCTTCACTAATACTAATGATGTAGTCACTAAGGAAATAGAAAAAATGGTGATGAAAAGATTAAAAATCGAAAGAGCAATACCATTTACAAAAAGATAAGTAACATCCATACAAACTCGCATGGTAAACATGTGCAAGGAACATAAACCGTAGAAAGGATCTTAGGTTTTGTTGATAATCATTGTTCAGATACTCTAAAAGATGAATAAATCATTTACCTTATAAAGTGGATCACCAGTGACTTCATATCGCATTTGAGCACCGATAACAATTGGAATATGCGTGTTAGCGTGAAAACCAGATATGTCATCAGCCTGCAAATATCAAAACTACTTGATGAGAGGGATTCCAAAAGATAAGGTTCAGAGAAGCTAGAAATTAGCTGTCATAGCTGGTGTTTACCAACGGGAAGAGAAAGGAAAACAAAATCTGCATGAAACCTAGGGTCAAGCTAGACATACTGAACCGAAAATAATGGTTACCTGCACTGCCAGCACTCCCAGAAAACATGGTTTGTCGAAAAGATGAGCCAACAATAAATGCTTTGCATCTCCCTGCGCATGGTAACAAGAAAGGTCAATGCCACAACTCTAATGTTCAAAATACTAAAAGTCTATAAAGTAGTTCACATATCAATGGAAACTAGAGTTCTGATGTGGTTGCCATCGAAATAGTAAATTCCATGAAACTTCTACACGGGCTTTTTCCTAATGTTTAGAACAGGGCATATGACATACATGAGCTGTTTTCTCCCAAATACCATATTTTCAAAGAAAGGTCCTAACAAATAAGAATGGTAGTTCCTACTACTGCTAATTCCAACCAGGTCAAAGACAGAATTAACTGTCTGCACAAAAAATGAACAATCTAAAAGATGAGCCAAGAGTACATTAAAATAAATCTTACGTACCGTTATAGCATATAGCTTATAAAGAACATCATTCATCCCACCAGTTTCTTCATTGAGTGCAGTATAATGCCTTTCTACACTGTACTTGGATATCACATTCTGAACACGGTTGTAAAAGTACTCAACCATCCATGTGACCATTTTTAACGCTTGAGCATTATCAGCAAATATATACTGATCCAATAGGCCTGCCAATATCTGTCGAAGTAGACAATTCAGAAAAGCTAATGATGCATCCCTTCGAATCAAAACGAAGTACTGGCAATAGATAATAAACTAAGTAGATTCTACCTTGTGAATGGTGTAATAAGGAGCCCAGACAGGCTTAACAGCTTCAAATCGATCAAATTCTTCAGATGGAAAGGCAGAAAGATATCCGCTGCCAATTTTTTTCTGACAAAGAGAGAGACTGTCCACCAGTGCTGACATTTTATCTTTGAGGATCTGATTATGAGTGCTAGCCCACATTTGTGCTGTTGCACTCAAGTAATGCCCTTCAAAATAAAAAAAGCAAGACATTTATACACCTCCACACAACCCGAATTTTCAAAAAATAAAATCGCAATTGAAAACAACTCCATTGCTGAATTTCAGTTATATATCAGAGACCAAGGCAGTAGAACGTGGAGGCAGGGAATGCCTCTATAGTATATCAGTCGTTCCCCAAAATAATCGGAACAATGTGCAAGTGTTCTCCAAACTAAAATTGAAGTAAACACAGTCACATTGTATAGATATGAGAAGACAATATCAATGAAGAAATGTATTAACATGTAAGAACAGAGAAATTAGACTAAAGATATGATCAAAAGGCTTAACAATGTTGACAGAGAAAACAAAGGGAATGAGTTAACAAATAAGACTAACCTACGAAATGACCCCGAAGCTCACAAGTCGGGTCCTCCCAACCCTTATATGGTGTTCCAGGGGTTGGCAAACCCGCTGTCTGACGAAAGTTCCAAATTAAACTATCTGAATCCAACATCAATAAGTACTTCAAATTTGTTTGCTGTGCCCTTCCATGTTGTGAAGTTGGATGCAACCTCACATCATGCAATGGCACTTCCTTAAGAAAACTTCCAGAGGCCTCAAAACCGCCAGAAGTTTTCATTTTCCGGTACATCATCCCCCATTCAACTTCATCTTCTTCCCTCAGTATCTTTCTTGGGAGCAAATCCATCCACGCCGAATCATCGGTAGGTATCAAGTGGTAGTATGAGAATATTTCCTCCTTGAGTGTCTCATTGTGGGAAGATAAGAGGTCATACCGGTAAGTATGTGATGAAAGCTGAGTAGGGATGTTTGTACATTCCTTCCCCACAGCAAAACCACATAGAAGAAGGATTTAACAAACAAAGGCAATTTCATTTTTCATCAAAACCCCAGATTAAAATGATCCCAATATGATTGAAACCAAGTAAATAAACACCAAAAACACCCCCACTAAGCAGTCAAAATTCAGTCCACAAACTTCACATTCAACTGCCAATATAAAAACAATAAAACTTTAAGTTACCAAAACCCAACAATTAAAAAAATAATCAAAGTGTTAAATTTTTAACAAAAACCCAACAAAGAAATTCTCTGAAAGTCACAACATTCAATAACATTAGAGTACAAAGCACCAGAAAACAGGCAGTTTGAGCTCAAAAGCCCAATTGAATAAAATCAAAGCATCTGTTTTTTGGCAAAACCCAGAAGACAACTCACTCCAAATTCAGGGAACAACTGTTATAAAGGAGAGAGAAGGAACAAGAAAAAGTTAAAAACAGAAGCACATGTGGGAGTGAGAAGGTGAGAGTGCGTGGCTAATCTTCTATTTATACACACACAGAAAGTAGAGAGAGAGAGAGAAAGAGAGAGGCTAGAGTCCAAGATTGCAATCTATATCAAAAACCAAAACCATCCCGTGAAAGCTAAGAAATGGTCATTATTTGGGTAAATTTAATTTGGAATATTTTCAGAGGAATAATTCTACAGAATTTATATATATATATATATATATATATATATATATATATATATATATTATATATATATATTTACTATATCTATCTATATATACACAGTTACACAGAGATATAGAGAGAGGGAAGTGAGGTGAAGATCACGGATACGGTGTCGTGTTTTGAGGCGGGTTTGACCGAGCGAAGGTTGGGGGTTTGATGGCCATCGGAAATGTCCCCGTGGAGTAGAAGAAAGCAGCACCAACAGATGGCCTTCTTTTCGCTCTCTTTTCAACTGAAATTTCAACCGTCTACTTTCCGTCCTTATTTATTTTACTCATTATTTATATTTATATTTTTTATAATTTCTATCCTTCTGAACTTTTATTTAAAGGAACTGTAACGAGTAGTTTTTGGTACTGTTTACTTTAATGAAAAATCATATTTTTACACTAAAAAGTCAATCCTGATATTATTCATTTTATACTTTATTTTGTCCTTATCGTTAAAACTTAATTTTTTTCAAACATTTTTTATTAGTTTTCTTTTTATTTAAGTCAATTATTTCTCGGGTAAATTATATTTTACCCCCCTCAGGTTTGGGGTCGATTTTAATTCTTTACAACATCTTTAAAACATTTCAATTTCATACATTTACTTTTCATTTTATTTCAATTTTATACATCCATTAGAAAATCCATTAAGTGATGATATGGATGCCAAATTTTTTTTTATGCATTTAAAATATTATAATAAATTATCCTATTTAAAAAAAATAAAAAAAAAACCATCTTCTTCCCAAGCACACCCATCCCACCCTACCCCCCACACCACCCTACCCAAAACCCACCCTCGGGCACCGGAACGCCATGTCCTGGGAGGACGAAATCGTTATGTGCGATGTCACCCATGCAGACCTCGTCGTCGCTGACCGCATTGGCCGTAAAGTCGCGTCGCAACTCGATCTTGAAGAAGCCCTAGAAGCTTCCTGATACGCTAGTGTGCAGGTGTTTGTGGGTAGGGTGGGGGGGTTGCAGGACAGGTGGGGTGGGATGGGTGTGCTTGGGGAAGAAGATGGCTTTCTTTCTTTTTTTTTCTTTTTTTAATAAGATAAATTATTATAATATTTAAAATGCATAAAAAATTATTTTTTTGCCACGTGGCAAAAATTTGGCATCCACATCATCACTTAAAGGATTTTCTAACGGATGTATGAAATTGAAATAAGATGATAAGTAAATGTATGAAATTGAAATGTTTTAAAGATGTTATAAGGAATTGAAATTGACCCCAAACCCAAGGGAATAAAAAGTAATTTACCCTTATTTCTCTATTGTTTGATTGCTCAAAATTACATGAAATTTTTTATCCACATTTGTACTTAAAAGGATAAAAAAATTCTTTTCATTTACACTTAATAATTCACAATTCAAACATGCACTTTCCTTTCTTTTTTGTGAAAGCTTTTGGACTTTTTTTTTTTTTTTTTTTGAGAAAAAGTTTAGAGGGAGGGGTGCCCACCCTATCCCAAAATTAGAGTATACCACAAATTTCTTTAAAGACTTACAGAGAGAGTTTTAGTCTCTCTTTCCTTTGTATTTTACAAATTGTCCACTAAGAAAGATTGTCGACAACAAGACTCAATCTAAACCTTAATTTAGCAAGGAGAACGATCCTTACTACAAAATAGCTTTCATTATTTTTCACTAGCATATGGGCACACACAAAGTGTGTGAGAAAATTTTTTATTTTTGGTTTTGAAATGGAATGAGGAAGAGAGTGATAGAGAATGTGGGAGTGGAAAGTTTTTTTTTTTTAATTTTTTTATTATAGATATGTTAGGATTACATGTAGATGAGGCTTTGAATAAAAAAACAGTAAAATTTGGTTGTGTGAAATTACATTTCTGCCCCATATTTCTTATTCATGTTCTGTTTTAATTAGAGGGTTAAACTGCTAATTTCATAAGGTTTTGGTTGACAATAAGTGTTTTATTAATTAGTAGAGATATATTTTGGCTGTTCATGTGGTGTGAATAATGTCCATGTCCATCAACAACCAAGAAAAGGATCCTCCCCGGATCCTTTTTACAGGGATCATAGGATCCCGTAATCGTGACCACTTATTGTACATTATTAACTACATTGCAAAGATAAAAGATTGGTATAGAGGAAGAGGACAGAGAGAAGCAAGAGAGATTTTAGAGAAAGAGTTTAGAGAGAAATAGGTTTTGTATTGACTTACTGAAATGAAGGTTACACATACTATTTATAAAGAAATCCTAACTACTTTAACCAAATACTAACTACCTAACTATATTACTAACTGTATTACATTTGTACCCTTAATACTCCCCCTCAATCTCAACTGGGGTATCCCAGTGTGAGATTGCAGCAGATTCGCAAATAGCAAACACCGAAATATGGATAAATGGTTCAGTTTCTTCTCAACTGCAGTCTCCCACTATGGTGCCACAACTGACAGTTCAAAGTTTTTCTTAACTGGTCTGGCCCTAACTTTTGCAGACTTCCAAAACAACAGATGCAAGACAGCATCATTATGTTTACATATGTCATCAATAAGTCTCTGATCTTCACGTAGGTTTTCGTCATACACAACTTCTTGTTCTTCTAGATCAACAAACTCTTTACTTTTAACAAACACAACACATCAAACTCTACAATCCTGCAAGCTTCAAGCTTTCAGCAATGGAGAACAAATGAATACCACTGGCATTGCATTAAGGTCAATGCCGCTCTTGCACTCCTGATCTTGATTAGTTCCACTGATCGTCTTATTGCTTTCATCAAAGTGCACATGAGAACTACTTTTCCTTGCTATCTGGTTCTCCGGTTTCTCCTTCAATTCTCGGGTTGGATGATCTCTCTTGTTCGCGCACCTCAGATTCGTTTTAAGCTAGCAAAGAACAACCCCCTGCAAACCAAGCCTTTCAACAGCTACAACTCTAATCAACTAATCTTTACAGAAAACATGGCTTCGTGCCCACAAACTTCAACCAACTAATCTATACAAAAAACATGGCTTCGTGCCGCAAACTTCAATCAACTAATCTATACAGAAAACATGGCTTCGTGCCGCAAACAAACAGTAACTGGCTTCGTGCCGCAAACAAACAGTAATGGCTTTGTGCCCAAAGAAACAAACTTGAAATGGCTTCGTGCCGCAAACAAGGAATAATGGCTTCGTGCCTCAAAGAAATCAATCGACTACTTCACAAAATCAAAGAAACATACACTTTTGCAGGGAATTGGCAGCTCCACCAGATCATCAAAGTAGTGGAACAGAGAACAGAACATGGATCAAATAACACCAGAGAAGCACAGAGAGCTGATATGCAAACAACACCAAGAAGAAACCATAATCCAAAATCTGCAGATCCAAGAATGTAGCATATATCACCTCAAATCAGGAATACCAGATCCAGAAAAACCTTATCGGAATATATTGTGCACAACCCAATCGTATGAGATATATGAACAATATCACCTTATACGAATCAAATCTTTGAACGCAACTCACGAACAATCCGTCGAACACCTTTGTAGCCCAACCCTGATTAACATCGCTAAGATCCAAAGCTACGGTCCAAGAACACCGTGAATCGAAATCGGTCAGTCAAGAAACAGATTCGAGTACCACACTTTTTCTCTTAGACTTTTCTTCGAACATCGTGTGAACATGACTTAAGGTACTTACTTGCCGACTTTCTTAGCAAGATTATCGTAGAAGACGAACGGTTTCTCGGTGTTGGAGACCTAAATTCTGAGGAACACTCCAAGATCGTCGAGCAGTGTGAGGCCGGTGCCAGGGTCGAGTTGCTCACTGCTGATGATCGGGCGGCTGTGCTTCTCGTCGTCGCCGTCGAGATGAAGAAGGTATTCTGAAGGTGAAGGAAGAGGAGAGGAAAAATCCAGAGACCCAAAAGTAAAAAAAAACTATGCATACGGAAGCATAAACGATCAAATACACGAAAACGAAAGAAAGTAATGAAGAAAGATAGAAGAAGAATCGACCACCAAGATCCATGGCGTGAGCCTTGGTGGCTCTGATACCATATTAACTACATTGCAAAGATAAAAGATTGGTACAGAGGAAGAGGACAGAGAGAAGCAAGAGAGATTTTAGAGAAAGAGTTTAGAGAGAAATAGGTTTTGTATTGACTTACTGAAATGAAGGTTACACATACTATTTATAAAGAAATTCTAACTACTTTAACCAAATACTAACTACTTAACTATATTACTAACTGTATTACATTTGTACCCTTAATATACATCGTGTGAATTTAATTTTAAATTTTAAATTTTAAAATGATTTCTAATTGCATGATGTACACTGAACGGTCACAATCACGAATATCCTTTTTCCCAACAACCATATATGCTGTGAACAAGTCAAGGGTGCCTCAATAGTTGGAAGGTAAAAGAAGACAAGAGAAAGATTAAATTAATTACATTAACTAATGATATTTTATCACAATGCTAATCAATCAATCAATCAACAATTTTTAATTTGGAAGCATGAATGTTGAATGGTCAAACAGATGATTCCAATCATCTGTAA